GGCTGGGGCGCGAGAGAGCCATGCTCCAAGCCAGCCTGGGTTCAGAGCCCGGGCCCCACAGACTGTCCTGCCAGGAGAGTGTGCGATTTGCGCTCGAGGGCTGGGTCAATCAGACGTCGCGATTATCATGCACTAAAACGTTAAGCAGATGTTTCCAGAACGTGTGGAAGTCTTTGGACTAGGTCAAATTGTGGGTAGCTTAAAACTTTAAAGACAGCAATTTTAATAAACCTGTCAATACAATTTCTTTGTTAAAAAAAACATTTGAGACTGATTAGGCTGCTTCTATTGAAAGAGATGCACAAGGTCTATATCTTTGGATCTTTTATTGAGCTGCGAGGCCAGCATGAATAACTGCTTCTCAGCTGTAAATGAAAATTGATTCCAGGTTTAACTCCTCATTTTCAGGGGTTCTTGAAGTCCCAAGAACCATACGAAGGAAAATTTGACCAAAAGGAAAACTGAAGGCGAGGACACGTGGAGGAAACGCGCATGCGCGCTCTCGAGAGGCCTGGCCGACTGCACCGTGCCTGCCAAACCCCAGCGGGCACACCCCGGCGTCGCTGCCTGCCCCAGATGCCTGCCCGGAAAATGGCATTTCAGTGAGTGTTGTATGGGGAAGGTCAGGGCGGGGTTTTGTATCTATGAGGCCAAGAGAGGAGGCTGAGACCTAAAACTGGGACCTAGTCAGCTGGGTGATGGGTATCATGTAGTTCCCCACCGTGTTAGTGATATCCAGCTTTTAAAAACCCAACAGACTGCACCAGGGACGTTTATGTAGTCACTAACTATAAAACGCTGTATCCAATTCAAACACGGTTCTGAAACATTCCAATGTCCAATGTCCATTTCAAGTGATGATTTAGTTCCCATTCTGGGGAAGCTCCTAAGATTTGAAAGCCAGCGTGAGTACAGCATCTCAGCATACCCTCTGTCTTTCTCCAGGGCGAGTTGAGGGGAAATAAGAAGCATAATCAAAAGGTATGACTCAGCTGTCCACCCACATCAGGCCTTTGAAGAAAAACTCATGTTTAGAGACGCGTAATTTTCCTGGAGGACTTGGTGTAGTGTCATTGGCAACCTGGCCTTTCTCCCTGTGACGTCTGGTTTAAAACTCGTCAGGGGTCAAAGGGGAGGAAAGGGTGTTCATAGCCAATGGATGCCTATGGGGCGTTTAGGGCAGTGAAGACATTCAATCCGGTTCCTAGCAGATCCCTATGGACACCAAGGCTAAAATGAAGGGCAATATCTATGTACCAATGGATCCAAAAGAAGGGACTTCCAATGAATGTTTAAAAAGGCCACAAGGAAGAATAACCGCTGATTTGTGTAGCGCTTGTGGTTATCAGAACATTCTTCACAACTACACTTGTAATTCTCACGGCCAGGCACACCCAGCTAATACATGTTAGGACAACACAGAACCTTTTCGCTCAGGTTTGCCACACGCTGGCTGTTTTCCAGGAAGTTAATTCAGTGGCTCTCTTTAACATCCTATTCCTTACAACCAAATCGAAAGTCACGCAGCTAGCATTCCAAGAACATGGGATGGTTTAGACTGTTACCGGTGGTAGTGACAATGACTCTATCCATTCACTTAGTTGCTAAATCCTCTGTGACCTAATAAAATAGGTGCTATTGTGACCCCCATTTCAGACACACTTAGGTCTTGAACCCAAGGTCATCCAGTAAGAGGCAGAGCCAGATTCAAACTGTGTTCATCATGGCGTATCTGCTTCCCAAACGGTCCCAAGCAAGAAAGCAAAATGCAGCAGGGAGTGTAGAGGAAAGACACAAACTTTTAACCAACATTTCAGGGTATAATCACTATTGCTTCTTCACTGAAACTATGTGCATTAAGTGATTGTGTATCCCTGACTTCAAAGCATCACTAGGAGGTGAAACCTTTTGTTGAAAAGGTTTTGTTTTTGTTTTTTAAACAGTCCTTAGTCTCCACAGCTCACCCATTCCAGCCTCATACTCCATGTTCCCGTTTGTAGGAATAATGCTTAGCCTTTAAACACATCCTAACTGTTCTGTTGGGGTTTGTGCACGGGAGCTGCCCAGCCTGGCTAATTACTGCTGTGGAGGGCACCAGTGGCGGGTAGATGATGAGAGACTTGGGACCGAAATGTCATATTAGAAACTGACACATCTTGATCCTGTGTTTCATTTTCATACACACATTGGAAATGCATTCTCATGGGATTCTTTATGTTGCAGACTCCGGCGTAAGGTCTTAGGGGCTTCTGGAAAAGACCGGTATCTACTCTCACTAAGCTTGGACAACTTGGATCTCCTTAGGTGAGTCCAGGTACAATGATGACAGATGAGATGCTCTGAGACTCCCGAAAGCTAATGACTTTTTTTTTTTTTTTTGGACTACGTTTGCATGAATGTAGCCACCGGGTTCTGAGAAAGTTTATAAGTATAATGTCAGCTCAAACCAATGGTGTGGTCTGGCCACTTGGACGCATCACTTAATGCGCGCTGATGCATTTGTTTATGTGCCCCCCCCCCCGCCATCATCCTGGCACAAATAGAATATTGCTGCAATTCTGTAGCTCAGACAGGGGGTGCAAACCTACCTCTAAGGTTTATTGGTGAGGTTCAAATAAGACAGAGCACCTAACTTAATATCAGGCACAGAATAAGGGTGGCTCTGTAAATGGGAGCCCTGAGTTCGCCTCCTGATGTTGCTGGCAGTGTGATGGTCCCGGTTACAAGACTGAAAGAATGTCCGTCAATTGATGAATAGATAAAGAAAAGAATAAACAGGAATGAAGTACTGATCGCTGCTACAACACGGATGGACCTAGAAAACATCACGGCAAGTGAAAGAAGCCGGTCATAAAAGGTCACATACCTTCCGACTCATTTATGAACTAGGCAAATCTGCAGAGACAGAAAGTAGACTATTGGTCGTCACGGACTGGGAAGGGAGGAAATGGGGAAAAACTGCTTCGTGTATGAGGGATTTCCTTCGGGGGTGATGAAAATATCCTGGAACTGGTGACAGGGGCACAATCTGGTGAATGCGCTACATGGTGACTTTTACGTGCCATGAATTTTACCGCGATGAAACAAAACAGGAAAATCATTTCGATACACGTATCTTTGAAAAAAGAAAAAGTGAGGCCTCATGAAGTTGGAGCTCAACAAACACTGCTTGGCTCTATCCAGTCCGCTCCTGCACAAACATTCTCTTTTGGTCTTTAGCCTTCCTGCCTTTTAACCAGTCCTCAAACTCTATACCGAGGGCTCATTTATAAATGTTTATAACCTTGCATCTGGTTCTTGCTCCCTGGGCCCAGCGAGGGGGAAGAAGTTGTCATTTCTGCCCTGCCTTAGATCCCCCAGTTCAATCTCCCGTTCAAATGAGAAGCTTTGTTGGTGGAGGCATGACTGGTCTAACGGCAGCATGCCACGGAAAGCCTCCAACGACCAACTAGGATTATCCGGGGGTCTTGGCACTGACACACTCCCCGAACACACATCCTAAAAACCCAGATGATTCGGGCCCACAGACCTGATGCCAGTCCTTCAGGTAAATACAGAATATGACAGCATGAGAAGCTAAAAAGCAGACTGCATTGTCCGTAATCCCATAGAGAGGAAGTCAATGCACAGAATCTATTCCCACTTATTGTTGATTACCGTGTTAAACATTTCCATTAAAAAGTAATGCTGCATCTGTCAAACTCAATGATGTAGGATTTTTTGTTTGATTTACGGACACAATCCGTGTCACTGGTATCTTAAATGCAGAAAGCAGCAATAACAGACACTGGTTCACATAGGAGAGGGACGGCTTGCATCCGGGACGGGGACAGCGAGCCCCTGGGAGACGACGGCGCCGGTCCTTGATGAGGTACCCAAGCGCAGAGACGCAATTTTTACATATTACGAAAAACGCAAGCCGAATCAGGAGGAGAAAGTAATGGAGAGTAAAGTGTTGGCCGCATAACATGGCAGATGACTTCAAATTTAAAATTCCACCAAACGGTAGGAGTTTCAGCGTGGCCAACAACCACACATGAGAGTGGAAGAGGCGAGCCTTGGGAGTTTTTCCCAAGCTTGTCTTTGCCGACCCGTCTGAGAACATTTAGCGAGCCTGGAGTTCTGTACTTGACAATTACCTTGACATGAGCATCCCTTGAAACCGTCTGCTTTCACTTTCCCGACTTAGCCAACTTCACCGTAGAAAAGAACTTGGTCAGGTATCAGCTTTAAGAAAAGGCAACCCTTGCACGCTCCTTATCTAAGGTGATAAACACACCCAGGTGGAGCCCACCTGGGACACAGCCCTGTCACAGAGAAAACGCAGAAGCATCACGGGCTCGATACGCTACGCTGCTACTCTGCTGCTTCGTGGACGATACTTGGCCTTCGCAAACCGACAAGGCCAGTCTCACTGGAAACGCTGCAAACAAGTGTCTGCCGTCTCATGTGGTGCTAAGGACTGTAAGTACTTAGGATGCAGCGCGGACGAAGATGGGGCAGCAGCAAGTTTTTGCCACATGCCTCCGGGCTGAAGGTTCGTGCGCGCTGTGGGATGGCGGGCGCCAGTTCTCGGCAGGTGCTCCGAGCGGTGCACCTGGGAAGGGTGGGGGGGGGGCGCAGCACTCGCGTGATGCCCTAATTAATGAATGAGCGTGGCCTGTGAGCCTCGCAACGGGGTCACTAAAGTTACACCTCACCCGAGACGATGCTTACTTAGTCCAAGAGAGGGAAAGACAGTCTGTGGCTTACTGAGGACCAGTTTGTGCGTTCGACAGGGGAGCGGAGGGAGGGGGTGAAGGGGTGTTCCCCTCACTACAGCTTGAATGACACTGAGAGCCGATTCAACCTGTTCCAGAACACCATGCCGATCTCTGCTTCTTTTCCTCTCTCTAAAGCCCAGAGGTAAAGCAGAGGGTAGGCTTGTAGATGGCAAAGGCATTCCCGTTCTTTCTGCTCCCTCCCGTTAGGTCCTGACCCAAGCCCGAGGCTCCTCCTACCTGGTAGAGCTCAGTGGCGGTGCACTGAGTGGCCAAGGTCTTCACCGGCTCAAGGTCGTCTTCATCACTGCTCAGCTTCAAGTCGTCCTCAAGCATCCTACGAAAAAAGCAGGGTGATGTTCGTGTTACAAAGCGTCTTTTCGAAACCATCCTCAGATACATCTTGCAATGAGGATAAAATATTGGAGCTACAATCTGACAGCTGCAATTCTGTCAAAGGTGCAGAGGGAACCAAGATTCTTTCAGCTAATTAGATATTTGAGCTCTTATATTTATGTCATACTCCGCACACATCTTCCCGCTCTACCTTCCCCTAAATCAAGGGGAAAAAAAGGACTATTTCAGCATCTCCAGAGATGACTGGAGTCTATATATTTTTACTACTGAAAGTGTAATAAATGTACTGATCAATCACTGTGGAGTGGAACGTGACATTGGATCTCTACAGGAAAAGATGCTCCGAGTCGCCCATGAAAGAACAGGGGCATGGTAACAGCCCCTGGCTCTAGAGGCTGCTGTCGCAGCCTGCTGGGGCTCTCTGGATGACAGAGGCAAAAGGCCCAGTGAACTTCCGCTGCCTTGCAGTGCCCTCTGCACTGTGGCAGCTCTGTGGCCACAAAATAGCTGGGCGAGAAATGGCTAGTCATTAACCTTTTGATATATGACCGATCTCTTCCCGTAAAATTTGATCCAAGAGATGTAAGCCCATGATGTGGATGAGAAATCTTTCTCTCCTAAGGCAAGGTACCTGAAAGATACGAACTTTGATGATGAACTAGCACTTTCAAAATTGTTTATCGAGCACACAGAGCCTCTTGTTCCTACAGTGCCATCCACTCTACCCCCAAACTTGAGCCACAGCAGGAAGAGTGACTGATTATCTTAAAATGCCAGTTACATAGCCTTCGAAGAGCAATCGGTGTTAATATTTTTATGTATTGAATGCAACTATAGACCTCGTTCCCAGCCTTCAAATGGGGGCAGTCCCAGCCTCCTTGGACTGATTACCGTTTTCTTGCTTCCAGACTCGGAATCAGGCTCAGCTCCCAGGCTACAATTTCCTTCTTCGACTCTGTGAATCCTATTTTTTCTCTATAGCTCAGCCAGATCCCACCTCCTCTGCAAAAGCTTTCAAGAAAGAACCCCCGTCTCAGAAAGGACACCTTTTCCTTCTGCCCCGCCCCCGGCTCCAGCTGGATCAGTGCCCTGTTTTCCGCTGAGTGTCCCCTTCTTCCCATGTGGGCTGCTGCTGCAACTTACTCACTTCTGTATTCCCAGAAATGATAGTCCACCACCCTCATTTTGCATACAAGGAAAGAAAGGTTCAGAGAAGTCCAGGGCTCTGCTCAAGGTCACACAGCTAGTTGTGCGAGAGCCAGTCCTACAACTCCCATCTCTTAATTTCTACCTGTGTGATTTTTCCAGAAGGGACGTTGAAAGGCAAAAGGCAACTTCTAATGTGATAAATGAGGGAATACATTATTTGAGAACTTATGTTCAAATGTTAGAAAGAGATTCGGGTCAGAGTGGGTAGCCAATAACTCTTCAAAGAAAACACGGCCCCCCTACTCTCATGCTCAGCCACATAAGATCAGGACATGTTCACTGAGGTCTGAAAACCAAAGACCAGTATAAAGAATGATTGCTAGGAAGGATAGCTGTTAGAGTTGGTTTCAGATAAACTAAACTTGTGAGATTTACGACTGTCCTTCATGAGACTAATGGATGTTTTCAAGATCTTAGAGAAGACAAAATGTATCTTCACATTTCTTGCAATTGCAGGCTTAGGACTCCAAACAAATAATTCTTTATAACACATTGTGGCAAACGAAAACGGTATCATTCTCATAAGCTATAGAAGTCAAATATTTTAATACTTATGGTGGTCATAAAGGGCTTCATTTTCTGTGTGTGTGTGTGTGTGTATGTGTGTGTCTTAATATAGGTGGGCAATGTCTACATGTTAATTTACACAGAAGTGTTGAGCAAAATAAATGATCAATAATCACTTCCATTCAGAAGACCCATTTATGTGTCAGGGAAAGTGCCAAGTATTTGACCAGAAGCTTGTAATTTGGACCCTATGAAGGAGGGGCTATTATTAGCCCCATTTTCCATTGGAACAGTGAGGCTTAGAGAGGTACAGAACTTGTTTGTGATTATGCAAGCTAGGAAATCATGGAGGCAAACATGGAACTCAGACCATCTCCAGCCAGAACTTGAGAATATCTAATGTTTTCCTAGAGGGTGTAATTTACAAAGGATGGTATATTAAATAAAATCAACAGCAACGACAACAACAGCAAAAAACCCCACAAAATATACTGACATGGAGTCAAGATAATTTGGATTCAAGTGCTGGCTAATCATAAACTCTGATATCTTGGGAAAGGCATTTTCTGTCTCTGTACCTCATCTGTGTCCCGCATCTGTTAAATGGGATAATAATTAAACTCTTTCACAGGGTGGAGGTGGGGGTGAGCATCATATGAGCAAAAGCATGTGAAATGCTTTAGGAAGGCACAAAATTAATGCAGGGTATCATTACTTTGGAAATATTGCATCATAGTTAGAAATAATGTACACCATTAACACCATTAACAAGTAATCACAAGCAGAGCCTTTCTGAGACCTTGTTCTCATCTTCATTTGCTGAACAACCTGAAGGTAAACATCTCACAGAGTCTCAAAGCTTAATCCAGAAACGGGTTTATGGGTCTTCTTCAGGGAGAACTAGCACATCCAGAGTCAGATTTCAGTCTTGAACTCAGCAGTTATCTTATTCTCCAACCAACTCTATGTGATTCTAACATGGAAATGAATGGCCTTCCGATGTACAATTCTGGAAACAGGCAACCAATCTCCATAGCGGTTGACATTAAACACCCCGCCCCCCATGCAACAAGCTCGGTGTGGATTTGGTTGTTAATAAAGGACAATTGGATGCATATATTCAAGTCCTGGTAAACACAAGTCAAGGAAGCAACTAGAAAGGCTCCTTCACTGACCTATTAAGCTTTATTCTTGAATATACATGTACTTGTTTGCATTTCCATCCATAACTAATACTGAACACTACTCTAGGGAATGAGGAGGATTATGAAAGATTTTGGATTTAATTATTATAGCAGCACCGTTCACACCCACTGCAGTTAAGGTAGTCTCAGAAGAAAAATGCTAAGTTCTTTTCAGGAGGTCACAACTGCATAGACAAATTCATCACACACTGGGTATCCTACAGTGTGAAAAAATCTCCCATGTAGGTAATCTTAAAAAATAATTGTTCTTCCCTTTTCAATTAGATGAAAACAGAACAAAGGGGGCCTCCTCAGTGACTCCAGATGTTTGTTCAGGATCCGGTAGTTCGCAGCGCCTGTCTTTGTGTGAAAACTCTCTGGTTTTTATTTTTACCATGACATATCAATTCTGTATTATCAAGAAATAAAATAGTCCTGGAGTGAGTGGGTGGCTCAGTCAGCTAAGCATCTGACTTGGGCTCAGGTCATGATCTCATGGTTCATGGGTTTGAGTCCCACATTGGGCTCTGTGCTGACAGCTCAGAGCCTGGAGCCTGCTTCGGATTCTGGGTCTCCCTCTCTCTCTCTCTGCCCCTTCCCCGCTTGCATTCTCTCTCTCTCTCTCTCTCTCTCTCAAAAATAAATAGTGGAATGCTTAGGCGATTTTGAAGAGGAAACAATAGAAGGCTTGGAACAGGATTACAGAAGGCTCTATGTAAACAAAGCCTTTCCTTGAGGCAGCATTGGCTTACGAGCAAGAGCTTGAGAGACAGACAGACTTGAGTTCAAGTACAGAATTTTCTAATGGGGTTGTTCTCTTGAACTCGTTAATGAAACTCTTCAAATCTTGCATTTTCTCACATGTTTAAATGAGCAACAATAATATCTACTTTGGAGAGTTGGGGAAGGATTAGAAAATAAACTTCCTACAAATTGCCTAGGAGTCAATATATGCTGCTATTGTTATTACCTGAGAAACGGTGCTTTACAGATTGGAACAAGAAAACAAAGAGCTCCAGTGGTGACCCAAAGACAAGCAGAGGTGTCAAATAGCATGGTTCAGAGCTCTTGAAGGAGTTTGCAAAGCTTCAGTGCTTGGGTTTACTCTTCAAGAATGTTCGAAACCCATCATGGCTGTCTGGGGTTTCCTGCGATCCTCCCAGAGTGCTTAAGATCCCCTGGAGATTTGAAAGCCCTGAGGAAACATACAGTTCCAAGGGGAAGTTAAAAACGAAGTAAGAGTGGCCTTGATATCCTGCTCCTTATATCTGTGGTGTGACTTGGTCCCTCGCTGGAAGCTGTACTCACCTTGAGCGCCTCGTCGTTGGGCATGCCACTCTCACGAGGAACTTCAAATATGCATTTGGCTCTAAGCTTTGTATAAAAGGCTGGGCTTTGGGGGCACCTGGGTGGCTCAGTCGGTTAAGCATCGGATTCTGGATTTTGGCTCAGGTCATGATCTCACGGTTGGTGGGATCGAGCCCCGCATCGGGCTCCATGCTGGTGATGCAGCACGGAGCCTGCTTGGAATTCTTTCTTTCCCTCTCTCTCTCTCTGCCTCTCTCTCTGTGTCTCTCTCTCTTTCTCTCACTTTCTCTCTCTCTCTCTCATAATAAATAAATAAATAAACTTAAAAAAAAAAGACTGGGGCTTCAGAGGCTGTTTAGTTGATCCAGAATCCTTGCTCAGAAGCAACCTTCACAATCCTGAACGTGTAGGCTGCAAGCCTACGTTGTGCCTTTTTCTGAATTACAAAATGGTACCTCTCTGGGCAGACAGCTTGTCAGGCGTACCACTTGATACTGGCTGGAGTCCAGCTTCCAAGTATCCGTGGAAATATCTGCCATGCTGGTGACTAACGGTCAGATAGACCCTGGCTCTTACAGTTGGAAGTGCCTGTGAGGGTTATCTATTTCACCTTGCCATCCAATGGAGATATCTACAACATCCCTACCACATGGCCATAAGCCATTGTCTGCTGGGCTGCAGGCAATGCCCTTCTAGTATTCAGGAGCTTTAATTGTTAGAACGTTCTGCCCCTTAGGAATTGCCCTCTGCTCTCTGGTAGCTTCCATCTGGT